GAGAGGCGTTTAATGCTTTTTCTCTCCCCTCTTCTCCTCCCATCCCTTCTCATCACTGAGCTGCAGGTGCTATAGATTAATGAACTGGGAGGACTGTGATTTTACGAGTGTTGTTTATACTTAAGATATTCTTTCTTCCCTGTGTTTGGGGGAATATTTGAATGTTTCAGCCCTGTGCACAGCTCTCTTTTCCCTTAAAGTCTCTACCTCAGTGCAGCTCTGAAGGACGTTCCAGTTTATCCCCTGATGGTTCCCATTCAGTGCAGGCAGGAGTGGGGCTGAGTGAGAGAGCTCAGACAGCTGTGCAGGATGGAGTGCTATGGGGAAGGCATCATTAAAATGCGGGGCTGAACAATAAGCAAGCAAGGAGAGGGAGGTTCAGACAGCGTGCCAGGGTTTTGTGCCTTTCTCTCCCTCGCTGCACGTTTGCAGTGTTCCCTTGGGATTCTATTAGGAGCATCGTCTTACAGGCTTTGTCCTTCTGCTGTTGCAGGCTCGCCTCCCTGCACCGCCCCAAGATGACTTTCTACTACCAGAACCAGTGGGACGATTCCTGCTACTCCCCGTGCAGCTACGGCAGCGTGTACAGCTACCGCACCTACGACTGCGGGAGCCCCTGCACTTACCGCACCTACGACTGCGGGAGCCCCTGCACTTACCGCGGCTCGTGGGGGCTGAGTGGCTACCGGGACTGCTACCCTTCCTACAGCTCCCGCTGCTACTCCCCCTGTTCCACGCGCTACACCCGCCGGTACAGCTTTGGAAGCTGCTACCCCTACTATAACTGTTAAACACAGAAGGATTTCGTGGCAAATGAGGACTGGGAATTGATGACTGGATCCATGGACTGTGCTTGCGGAAGCTCCGAGTCCAGAATGGCGATGCAAAGCTGTTTTGGGGAGCTTAGTGTTACTGTAAATTTCTTCAATGTTCTTCTGAAATTCTGTTTTGTCTTTTTCCTTCTCTGTTATCTCCTTTGCTTTGTGGGGGTCTGGTGGTATAAGGGAAGCAGGGCAAGACACAAGGGTGGACAACTCATTTATAGCTCTTCCATTAATGAAATCTGGAGTGCTGTGCCCTACTCTTCCTCTAGATGTGTCTCTCAACTCACTGCTTTTTAAGCTATACCAAAGAGAAAGTGAGTCATCCAATCTGATTTGATTCACTGAACTCAACAAAGTGGAACAGTTTGAAAATGACAGCCAATGGCTCCAGCAAAACAAGGTGATTTTCAGCACAAATTCATCTCTGTATTTATTCCTTCTGCTTCTACCTTCTCTGTCATGCTTGATTGTGATTGTGAGCTTTCTTCATATTAAAATGTTATAGCATTATAGCACCTCGTTGTTTTTTGCTTTCTGATTCACATGTACGCAGTTTTGTTTCCAGCTCAGTATATTGTGATAAGCTTTCCTGGGATTTACCGAACCCTGTAGCTTTTAAGTATCTTTTCACATGAGCAAACACTTTGCAGATTAATGACCCAGTAGTACCTCAGCAAATGAAGAGACTCAGTGTCTCTTTCTAGGGAATTTCCTACGGAAGGCTTGGAAAAATCCCCTTCAGTTTTCCTTAGCATCACAGCACATGCACAGGCACTAGGGGTAAAACCACCGGCACCGCATCTCAGTGATTTACAAATGCAAGCAAACCCATTTTGACAGGTGGGAAAGCCAGAAATTAGGAAGAAAATCCCCTTTTCTCGGCTGATTTTGTGCTGGCAGTGTCTGAGCCACTTTCTGCATTTAGAGACGTGATTTGTTACAGAGAATTGCACACTTTCCATTCACCTCATTAAGCCCTCATAAAGACAAGGGTTTGCAAGTGTTACTGCGAGGCTCCATTTGAATGACAATGAATTGGCACGAAGTTCCCAGGCTGCACCATCACACAGATGTTATTAAGGCGGGATCCCTCTGAGCAAGCCCCAAATGACTATTATTCATGACAGAAGTACCTAACTGGCAGCAGCAGTAACCTCTTAATAGTACGATGCTGTAACAGTCTGGGCTGAGAGCAGCAGGCAAAGCGCTTTGAAATGCCTATTAAATCCTCGGACCTTTATTGTGAACGTAATTGCCTTTCTTTGAAGGCACGCACAGGCACTTTGAAGGCAGTAGAAAAAGAGGGATGGATCTCTATTGCGCTATGGTAACCCATGCACAGGAGTGAGAACGTCATCAAACACCTTCACAAGAAGAGCCTCGGGTTATGCTTTCAGCACAGTTGGGAACGGAGTTCCTCATGGCTTCTGAGCAGCTTATTTCTGGGAAGGCACTGGCTTTGATGCCTGACACATTTAATTCTGGAGCACAGTACAGATTGCTCCTCAACTTGTCATTGAGGTGAATCTATTTTGCACTAGCTGGTCATGATCTCAATGCTTCAATGTCTAAAACTACGAAATAAAATCTGGAGGGTTCCTGTTATGATGCTAAATAAAATCTGGAAAGTACTCAGTGTCAGTGATGAAGTAAGAGGAGATGTTGGCTGGAAATAATCACTATCACAGAGTCTTGGTTGTTCTACAGGGCTTAACTGTGAATATGGTTAAAAAACGGTTGAAGATTCCTCAGAATCAATGCATTTAGCTACCTTTCTTTACCTCTCAAAAGTCTTAAGGTAGGGCTAGAAAGGAATCTGAATTTCTATGATTGGAAGGACAAAGCCAATAATCGTAGGATCAATCCTGGTTGTGTTTGTAGAGAGCCACATTTTAATGAAAAAAGGGAAGGCTTTAAAGCCCCATTCCAAATGAAGCATGTATTGAAATGCCTCAGTATACATGTTTGAAGTGACTCTTATTCAGTAATGAAGTGCCTAATGAGTGCAGTATGCATTTAATACAGTAATAACACACTCTGAGAGCACAAAGCGAATGAGAAATGCTTTGAACTCCTCAGACTGTGTAGCATGAAGAAATCAGAAATCTGGAGTCGTTGCACATTTCTGGTTAACAAAACGATCTCTGGTAACAAATACATTCAGTGATAATGTTTATGCAAAATCTCACTTGATATTAATGAGGTTAATACCTTGTTAGCATCTACTGCATGCTACAGCTCAAGGGTACAAAAAACAAGGTGTTGAATCTTCACAAACAGCTTCCTGATCTCTAATAACGTGACTTGAGATTCATTACCAAAAACTTTTGAGCCAATGTAGAACATCAGAAGAGCAGATATGGACAAGTCAACCAAAAGCCAAGTTGCAGATGGAATAAAGATTCTTTAATGCAAATGGAGAAGGCAGTAGGCAGTGATACAGAAAAACCACAACATAGAAATAATGAATTGCAATCGTGCAAACCACAAGGCTGTTGCAAGTCTCAACCCCAGAGATTCCTCTTCTTAGCTCTGTTCAGGAGGCTCAGAGCTGGTCAGAGTAGGGAGAGCTTCACCCAACGATGAGCACTGCTTTGCTGTACACAAGTAGAGGGAAACTTCTGGAGGCACTGTTGGAAACCCTGAGCCCTAAACTGCAGATTTCAGAGGCTGAACTGAGCAAAAAGCAAGGAGTAATGATTTAAAGTAACTAATTTGGAACAGCCATAAGAGGGATGGAAAGCTACATCTGGTGGTAGAAGAGAAGAGGAGGTATTTGTGAAGACTCAGCAGATGCAGCACTGTAGTGTGTGGATATTTGGGATTTAGCAGGGCCCACAGCTGCCCCCAAGGGACCTGTAGCCTCGGCCCCAGCTGCCATATCCACAGCTGCCAAAGCCTCCATAGCCCCCAAAGCCCCCAAGGCCATAACAGCCTCCATAGCCTCCCAGGCCTCCATAGCCCCCAAAGCCTCCATAGCCCCCAAAGCCAGCACTACGTCCAAAGGTGCCACCCAAGCCCGATCCAATGGCAGGGACTCCAGCTGAGCCAACTGCAGCGTTCTGTGGGAAGGAGCTGAGGATGGGCCCGGGGAAGGTGACCACGGTGGCCGGGGGTTGGATCACCACGGTGGAGTCGGGGCACTGGCGCACGCAGGGCTCATTGCAGCTGTCAGCCAGTGGGGCTGGGGCGGCCACACCGCAGGCAGGGGCACACAGGCTGGAGCAGGACATCCTTCAGTTCAGGAGATGAAGCTGTGAGAGTAGGCAGAGCCATAGTCAGAATAGAAATGGAACACGAATCCTTCATGCCTCTCTTCTATTTGGAGGATGTGCTGAGAGCCCTGAGAAGCCTCAGAGAGCTGCACTTACCAGGAGCTGAAGGGAGTCAAGTGGAGGAAGCTGGATAGAGGACTGCAAAGTGTTCAGCACTTTTATACCCACCCCAGACAGCCTGAGGCATGCACTCGAGGGCAGTGGTGGCAGAAGCTCCCAATAATCATGAAATAAACCAAATACACATCATGACTCACAGGAAAGATGCAGAGCAATTATTTCACTTCCCATTGGGCACACTGAGACAAAAACGTGCCTTGGAGAACAGCAAGGGGATGAGAAGGTCACATGGCTATACACAATTACTTGAAATAAAAGGTGCTGCTCTTGCTGACGTGTTATGAACCAATAACCCCTAATGTGTTCCTAATGCCTTGTCACGTTAAAGCTCACACACAGAGAAATCACAGTTGTAGATGTACCCTTAGCTGGTAAGTCAAAATGACCCATGCTGCACTGGACACATAGCTGCCATCAGAGATGCTCTGACTTCCCAACCCAATTGCATCCCACTGTTTGCCACTGAAGGGTGGTGGCAGTTGTTTGGGAGCTGTCCCAGGAGGGTGGGATCATTTCATCGCTTTGTCCAAAGTTTACCAGCCCATAAAACAGTGGTAATGAAGGTAATGATAGACATTGTGTCTGTGAGCAGGATTGCAAAGTGCTTTGTCTGCAGGATACCTGTGAGTCTTTCTCATAGACAAAATTTGGGATTAAGAACACATTGGGGTTTACAGGTGTTGTGAGTTCAGCATCAGCAGCGCGTGGTCTGTCTTTCATGTAATTGCTTGTAATCACCTGTCCCTCTCATCAGCCACTTGTTCTCCAGAGCATGCTTACATCCCAATATCTCCATTGATGAAGGACTTAATTGCTCTGCCTCACTCCTCAAGTGTCATGAAGCGTGTTGGCTTTATTTAAAGATTATCTGGAACTTCTGCCAAGCCACTCTCAGGTCAATGCCTCAGGCTGTCTGGGATGGGTATAAAAGAGCTGAGCACTTTGCAGTCCTCTATCCAGCTTCCTCCACTTGACTCCCTTCAGCTCCTGGGTAAGTGCAGCTCTCTGAGGCTTCTCAGGACTCTCTCTCTGCCTCCATATGGCTTTCCTAAACTCTTTCCTTACTGTGAGTTCCCTTTGCAGGACTCCTTGACTGTGTGGAAGATGTCCTGCTCCAGCCTGTGTGCCCCTGCCTGCGGTGTGGCCGCCCCAGCCCCACTGGCTGACAGCTGCAATGAGCCCTGCGTGCGCCAGTGCCCCGACTCCACCGTGGTGATCCAACCCCCGGCCACCGTGGTCACCTTCCCCGGGCCCATCCTCAGCTCCTTCCCACAGAACGCTGTGGTTGGCTCAGCAGGAGTCCCTGCCATTGGATCGGGCTTGGGTGGCACCTTTGGACGTAGTGCCGGCTTTGGGGGCTATGGAGGCTTTGGGGGCTATGGAGGCTTTGGGGGCTATGGAGGCTCTTATGGCCTTGGAGGCTTTGGGGGCTATGGAGGCTTTGGCAGCTGCGGATATGGCAGCTGGGGCCGAGGTCTTGGGTACCTCAGCGGCAGCTGCGGGCCCTGCTAAGCACAGCACGGCCTCCTGCCCTGGTCGAAGGGAAGCTCTGGAGAAGTCCTAGTGCTTCCCCTCCAGATGCCATGAAAAAGCGTTTGCCTTCGGCACTGCTGGGCTCTGGCGCCTGGACACCTTGTACCTGCATGGGGACCAGCACTATCTTCCTCTACTCCACAATAGCTTCGCTTTAAGACTCGCAGCTCTGTGATGACACTGTCATGTGCTGGCTGCCTGCTCCTTTACCTTTGTCCTGTTCAAGAGATTGGGGACATCCTCTGGCCAGGGGCTGCTCTTCCACCAACTCTCTCAAACCTGGAACCTGCAATAAAATCTGTCTTGCATCACAGTTTCCATCTCTGAGTTTTCCTTCACATCTCCTCGATCCCGAGTTCCCACTGAAGTCACAAAGGCTCTTTGGGGCCACCACTTCCAGCTTACAGCTGAGCCTTCTCAGGATCTCGGTGGGCTCTGCCCCGTCCCCTCTCACCTGCCCTGAGCAGCAAAAGATTCAGCAGCAGCTGCCCCAGGCAGGCTCCAAACTGCACCTTCAGTACTTGCTCCTCCCTCACAGCTCTCCCCCACTTCTCTGACCCTGGCTCTACCTGCTGCAGCTCAAGAAGAGTTCTTGGCTCCATACAGAGCTCAGTGTCTGCTCTTGAGTGTCCCCGTAGTTGGCCTTTGTGATGTGGGGCCTGTGGACAGGCGTGCAGCCTTCTGAAGGGCAAAAACAGTTCCAGAGACTCCTGTGATGCCCTGAGGCAAAGGAAGGAAGGTGACAGCCTATGAGCAACCTTGTCCACAGCCTCTCAAGATTCTTTCCTGCTCCGCTTCTTTCCAGAGCTCCACATAGCATCGAGGATGCTGATTTTCCCCACCATTGCTCAGAAACAATTTCACAGCAGCTGTGAAAAATTGCTCTGACAGGGCAGCACAGCCGTGCTTCACTCTGCCCCATGTAGTGAATGCAGTGCTGGGCCCTTGGCTGTTCTTCATCTCATACAATCCTCCTGGACTCAGGCCACCCAAATAACCCCCCACCTCAGCGGGATGGGGCCCAGCCAGCACCTCCCACCAATGGGCCCTCACCCAGCCCACATGGGTCACCACAGGAGGCAAAACATGGCGTTTGGCTGAGCACGCTCACACAGCAGCCAGCAGACATGTGGGGAAGGAAGGGACAAACTGAGCTGTAGCCAAAGGCAAGGGAGGAAGGACAATTTTCTGCTCATCCAGTGTAGGAAACCCATGGTTGTTCCTGATATTTGCTGCCTTTTCATCCTTCCCTGTCTTCCAGTTGCTGATGAGTGTGTTCTCCTGAGGTCCCCAGCAGTGACCAACCTGCTGCTCCACTGCCCACCTTGATTTCTCTGGCGGTGATGCCTCTGCACAAGACGAGTGCACAGTGCTGGGATTGTGGAAATAGAAGATGTCTGGGGCACAAAAGGATGTAAGGAGAGGAGGGACTCCAAACTCTGACTCAAGACCTTGGTGCTCTCTGGGTCAGGACGGCTGTACTCCATTCATGGCTGTGAGGGCTACCTTGGGAACGTATGGTGGTAATTCCCTTCCCCTCTCCAGTGTCCCCTCCAGGATCTGAACACAGGGACACTGTTAGCAGCTGGCAGCAGCCCTGTGAACGATCTGCTTGTCTCCCCATTTCCCCTTGCCTCTATGTGTTATCACTGGCATAACAAGAAAAGGAAGAGAAAGCAGGCATGTAGAGGCCAGGTTGTGCAGATGTCATGGAAGAAGTTCTGCGGGACACCCATTGAGTGTTAACATACTGAAGTGAGGTTTGTTTCAGAGGTGTCATTGGACCGGTTGTAGAAGAGAGGAGGCTCAGAGGGATGTGCTCTGCAGGACCCTCTATGCACTGTGATCCTCAGCAGTAATGCACAGCCCTAACTGCCAAATGTCCCAGAGCCAGTGCTGTGGGAGCAGCTAGCAGCCCAGACTCAGAGTCTCTGAGATAAAGGGCATTTGGGGAAGGACAAGGAAAACAAAATACGGGGGTCAAGAGTGCAGTGTAAGAGAGCTTTTATTGCAGGTCCAGGAGAGGAGGAGGGAGGTGGCAGAAGGGCAGCCCCTGGCCCGAGGCTGTCCTAGTCTTCTTGCAGAGAGCAGAGGACAGGAGCAGGCAGCCGAAGTTGGGCCATGCTATCATGGGTAAGCCGGTGTAGAAGCAAAGGTCGGGGAGAACAAAGACAGACAGAGGTGGTCCCCATGCAGGCATGCGGTATACAAGGTTTGCAGTCCAGCAATGCCGAAGGGAATCCCATCGTCACGGCATCAGGTGGGGATGTGCTGGGTCTTGTTCAGAGCTCTCCTTCACTGTCCTGAGACAGTGCTGTGCTTAGCAGGGCCCGCAGCTGCCGCTGAGGTACCTGTGGCCTCGACGCCAGCCACCATATCCACAGCTGCCAAAGCCTCCATAGCCCCCAAAGCCCCCAAGGCCATAAGAGCCTCCATAGCCCCCAAAGCCTCCATAGCCCCCAAAGCCGGCACTACGTCCAAAGGTGCCACCCAAGCCCGATCCAACAGCAGGGACTCCTGCTGAGCCGACCATGGAGCTCTGTGGGAAGGAGCTGAGGATGGGCCCGGGGAAGGTGACCACGGTGGCCGGGGGTTGGATCACCACGGTGGAGTCGGGGCACTGGCGCACGCAGGGCTCATTGCAGCTGTCAGCCAGTGGGGCTGGGGCGGCCACACCGCAGGCAGGGGCACACAGGCTGGAGCAGGACATCTTCCACACAATCAAGGAGTTCTGCAAAGGGACCCACAGTGAGGAAACTTTGGGAAACCCGTATGGATGGAAGCAGGGAGAGAGCCCTGAGAAGTCTCTGAGAGCTGCACTTACCCAGGAGCTGAAGGGAGTCAAGTGGAGGAAGCTGGATAGAGGACTGCAAAGTGCTCAGCTCTTTTATACCCATCCCAGACAGCCTGAGGCACTGACCTGAGAGTGGCATTGGCAGAAGCTCCAGATAGTCTTTAAATAAAGCCAACACGCTTCATGACACTTGAGGAGTGAGGCAGAGCAATTAAGTCCTTCATCAGCAGAGATATTGGGGTGTAAGAATGCTCTGGAGAACAAGAAGCTGATGAGAGGGACAGGTGATTACAAGCAATTACATGAAAGACAGACCACGCGCAGCTGATGCTGAACTCACAACACCTATAAATCCCAATGTGTTCTTAATCCCAGACTTCATCTATGAGAAAGACTCACAGGTATCCTGCAGACAAAGCACTTTGCAATCCTGCTCACAGACACAGTGTCTATCATTACCTTCATTACCACTGTTTTATGGGCTGGTAAACTTTGGATAAAGCGATGAAATGATCCCACCTTCCTGGGACAGCTCCCAAACAACTGCCACCACCCTTCAGTGGCAAACAGTGGGATGCAATTGGGTTGGGAAGTCAGAGCATCTCTGATTTATGGCAGCTATGTGTCCAGTGCAGCATGGGGCATTTCTGACTTGCCATCCAAGGGTACATCTTTGGCTATGATTTCAATGTGTGTAAATGTTTAGCTGCCAAGACACTTGGAACGCATTGGGAATAATTGATTCATAACACATCAGCAAAAGCAGCGCCTTATCTTTGAATTATCTATGTATAAATATGTGACCATACCATCTGCTTCATATTCCCCAAGGCATGATTATCCCTCACTGTACCCAATGGGAACTGAAATAATTGCATCTCTTCTTGTGTGTCATGATGAGTACTTGTTTTATTTCATGATTATTGGAAGCTTCTGACACCACCGCCCTCCAATCTAAGCCCTAGGCTGTCTGTAACAGATATAAAAGAGCTGAGCACTTTGCAGTCCTCTATCCAGCTTCCTCCACTTGACTCCCTTCAGCTCCTGGGTAAGTGCAGCTCTCTGAGGCTTCTCAGGGCTCTCTCCCTGCCTCCATCCATATGGCTTTCCCAAAGATCTTCCTCATTGTGAGTGCCTTTGCAGGACTCCTTGACTGTGTGGAAGATGTCCTGCTCCAGCCTGTGTGCTCCTGCCTGCGGTGTGGCCACCCCAGCCCCACTGGCTGACAGCTGCAATGAGCCTTGCGTGCGCCAGTGCCCCGACTCCACCGTGGTGATCCAACCCCCGGCCACCGTGGTCACCTTCCCCGGGCCCATCCTCAGCTCCTTCCCACAGAGCTCCGTGGTTGGCTCAGCAGGAGTCCCTGCTGTTGGATCAGGCTTGGGTGGCACCTTTGGACGTAGTGCTGGCTTTGGGAGCTATGGAGGCTATGGAGGCTATGGGGGCTATGGAGGCCTGGGAGGTTATGGAGGCTCTTATGGCCTTGGGGGCTTTGGGGGCTATGGAGGCTTTGGCAGCTGTGGATATGGTGGCTGGCGTCGAGGCCACAGGTACCTCAGTGGCAGCTGTGGGCCCTGCTAAGCACAGCACTGCCTCTGGACAAAAATGAAGGAGAGCTCTGGAGAAGCCCCAGCACATCCCCACCTGATGCTGTGAGGAAGGGCTCCCCTTCAGCTTTGCTGAGTCCGGGATTGGATTCCTCATGCTTGTACGGGAACCAGCTCAGCTTTCTTCTGCTCCCTTTGATCTTCACTTCAGTGTTCTCTGACCCACGATTATGCAGCCCTGTGCTGGCTGCCTGCTACTTTCTCTCTGCCCTCTGGAAGGAGATGGGGACAGCCTCGGGCCAGGGGCTGCCCTACTTCTATGTTTATCCTCATGCTTGGACCTGTAATAAAAGCTCCCTTACACTGCATTCTTGACCTTAGTGTTTTTATTTTCCTTCTCCTTTCCCCACATCTCAGAGGCTGCAGGTGTGGGCTGTGAGCTGCTCCCACAGTATAGCTGTTGTCACATTAGGCTGTTGGGTCATTCTATTACAGCTGAGGATCACCAGTGCACAGATGGTCCTGCAGAGCCCATTCCAAGGAGTCTCCTCCCTTCTCGCAATGGCTGTAATGACGTCTCATAAACAAACCTCACTTCAGTATGTTAACACTCACTGGATGTCCCACAGAACCTCTTCTACACCCTCTGATCATCCAGGGCTCTCCATGCCTTGATCACCTTCTTTTCCTGCCATGGCAGTGTTCATATGTAGAGGTCAGACGAAATGGGGAAACAAGCAGTGCATGGACAGTGTTGCTGCAATCTGATGACTGTGCCCCCATGCCCAGCTCCTAGAGGGGACAGTGGGGCCCAGACATGAATGGAGCGCAGCCATCCTGTCCTGGAGAACACAAAGATCTTGAGTTGCAGTTTGGAGTTCCTCTTTGTCTGGTGTCATTTTCTAACCCATACGTCCTCTGGCCCCACTGCGTGCTGCTCTTGCACAGAGGTGATTCCTGTCAGGAATGTCAAGTTGGGTAGTGGAGCAGCAGATTGGTCACTGCTGCAGATGTCAGAAGAACACATGCCATCAACAAGAAGCATAGGTTTCCTGCACTGGTTGAATGGAAAATTGTCCTTCCTCCATTAACCTTGTTTACATCTTTATTTCTGCCCTCCTTCCTCACCTCTGCTGGCTCCTGTGTGATGGAGCTCAGCCAAACCCCATGTTTTGCCTCCTGTGCTGTCCCAAGGGGTGACTACAGGCCCATTGGTGGGAGGTGGTGGCTGGTCCCCATTGCTTTGATGTGGCCAGGTGCTTTGCGGGGCCTAGAGTCCCAGAGCGTTGTATGAGATGAAGGGCAGCAGAGGGCTCAGCATTGCTTGTCCTACTCAGGCAGAGCCATGTGGCCCAAGCTGCTGTGGAATTTCTTGTCAGCCAAAGGTGAGTAAGAACTGCCTATGGTAGTGGTGTATGGAGCTC